TAAAATAGCTGGAGTCACTGTGAAGCTGGAGGAGGAACGCTAACACTTTTCCACTCGATAAAAGTTAACGGGAGGGTTCCTGATGGTTAGGGACAAATGCAATGGCATGGCAGGATGCTGGTAAACGGACCAAACTTCAGTCAGGAGAACAACTGAGATAATCCATCCACAATACCAGGTTAGTCATTAATTTACTGCAACAACATGGGAGTAGAGCAGCTGCGAGAGAATTCAACATTAATGAATCAACGGTACGGAGGTGGAGGAAGCGCCGTTTTTGGCTTTCCTCATATTCCAAAACGTGCTTCGTCTCTTCGCGATTACTGTAACCTGGCGTAATTTGCAGATCATGTTGTTTGCAGCCACTGCAATGCTTTTGACCAAAACAGGCACAGCTTGATGACACCATCAACATGCGCTTTCGCGGTACAGCGGTACGGTCAAAATCTCTTGGCCAAGTTCGTATCATTTGTATCATATACCGTTTATACCGCCCACCCCTAATTCTGATATAAAATAAATGTCAAATAAAATACATGTTGTGACTTTGAGCTGTGACTGATATGATGATGGACTCCTTTAATGCAGAGACAAACTGAACCGACAGATCTGTGTCAATTCAAAAAAAGCAAGCGTGAGTGAAATGAAAACGCTTTACATCAAATCAAAAACCACCAAAATCAGATAAAGAAGAGGGAAGTTCCAGTTCTTCCTGTTGGAAGATAAATAGCGAGTGTAGCACATGTAATGATCAGTGCGGAGAGAAGCCCACCTTGAAATAGATCACTTTGTGGTTCTGATGGTGATGCTGCTGTTGAGCTCAGGTAGGATGCTTTGTGTTAAATACCAGCTGCTGTTAAATTAAAAAAGAAGAAGAAGCACAGAAGAAGACATCCAACACGTATAAGTCAGCTTTAATATGTTTGGTATATCTTTTTATATGTAGAAGACCGTTGTGGTCATGGGTGCTAAGATGATTATAATTGTTAAATGTGCATTTCCATGGATTTGCGTTGGTGTGTGTGTGTGTGTGTGTGTGTGTGTAAATGCAAAAGCATACATAAACAAGAGAAAGGGTAGGAAAAAACATTGTGTTTATCTTTTTTTTTCTCTGTATCTATGAAGCGCCTTGAGGCGACTTATGTTGTGATTTGGCGCTATATAAATAAAATTGAATTGAATTGAATTGAATCTTGGTGCTATGGGAGGAATATTAAGGAAAGGTAATAATGTCTGTTGACCCACTTTCAAACCATTTTTTTGCACAATGAAATCTGAAGCCTGACATTTTCACTGGTCTTTCTACCCTCAAAATCAATCAGCATCTGTAATTTGGGAAAGATAAAATACTGATGGAAGCCCTTCGCTTCCATTGCTAGACCCTAGGTTGCACTATATGGTCAAAAGTTTAAGGGGGTCCAATCTGTGAGGTGGTCTAACTGTGAGAGCAGGGAGGCAGGCAGGTGATAAGAAGAAGGGAGTCCGAACCAAAGTGAGAGGGGCAAATTCAGCAGCAAAGGAAAGGAAACTGTAGGCAGTGAGGTAAAAAATCCGTGGACACAACTAGGCACAAGAGAAACAAAACGAGTACAAGCATAAATTGCAATGAAGCGCATGAGTGAGGCGACAATAACGCTGGTTAGCAGACGATCTGGTGGAGAGTTGCTGTTCCAGCTGGCCTTGAAGAGGAAATCAGTAGTGGTGCGCGGATCGATACGGAAATATTGATTCCTCTGATACCTGTTATTTATGTTCTAGAATCGATTCTCATATTAAAATATCGATATTTTAGTAATTTGAGGTAAATTTGTACTTTATCAATAACAGGAAGACAGTGGAAAGAAACTTTATCATTCGGATTATCTAACTTGGAAGGAACTACATGTGAAATATGGCTGTATAAAGGTGCCGCAGCCCCTTAGACCACTGATTTCCTTTCCGATCCGATACCAAGTAAAATTCAGGGTGGTATCGACAATACTGATCTGATTCCGATAATTTGTACAAAAACGTAATGTTTTATTGTATTTCAAATTATAGCTTCATAATGATTACATGACAACAGACTACTTGTTCTTATTGCTTAAAAATGCAGAATTATCATATAGAAATAAAAACCCTGCAGTTGTGCGCTATTTGAACA